ATACATTTCGTAATGGGGTCAATTTGTACCGTTTAGTATAGCGATTACTTCTACTAAGATAGTTGATTGGGGTTTGGTGTATGCTTATCAGGGCTTCTCTTTCTTTTTTCCGACTAATAGCTAACTTAGGATTTTAGCAGCGGCAGTTGCCCTCGAAGGCACCGTGAGATGGGTCCTATATTTATATTTATATAGACAGCAATCACTAGTATTCAGACACTAGCAACTGCAGCTTTATTTTCTAGTAACAAGAAGTGATCTTCTCATTTAGAATACGTAGGAATAGTCACAGTATCTTTTGGGGCGTCCTGCAGATTCACTTCTTAATTTATTTCTTCGGCTAGTTAGCTTATTTAGTGGGGTCCTGTAGAGGTAGGTGCCCATGAAGGCACAGTTAGTTTTTTGCAATATCTTTTTATAAACTCTTATTGGGAATTCAATCAATTGTTGTTCCTTTCTACCTCTTAGAGACAAGTATTTATACATTGGTTTGCAGCACAAATCAATAGTAAGCATTAATTTGCAACAACTTAGCCAATTAAAATTATCAATTTAGAACAATTTTTAGACACTATCTAACTGTTGATTATATGTCAAATGATTAATTTGCAACAATCTGGACATTATTATAATCATCTAATTGTTGTGTATCTCTCACCTCTCTATACTCCCCTTTGGTGTATTGAGAGTTTTGAACAATTTTTAGACACTATCTAACTGTTGATTATATGTCAAATGATTAATTTGCAACAATCTGGACATTATTATAATCATCTAATTGTTGTGTATCTCTTACCTCTCTATACTCCCCTTTGGTGTATTGAGAGTTTTCATATCTATTCATTTCTTTATTCTGTTTTAATCATACTATTAAAAGTTAACTTTTAACCTTACCTATTCTATGGCAGTAGTTCTCTCTTTTTTCTTTTGAATTATTTCGTTAGGGTTAACCCCTTTACTGCCTAGGTTCCAATACCATCAAGCTTCCACTCTCTCCTTTTTTCTCTTAAGGGTTAGATATTGTGTTTGGTTGATTGATCTCGTCTCATTGTCCACTTCTTATAGTGTGTTGTATGTACTCAGTGTCGTATGGTTGGCAGATAATAGCAACAGTGGGTGTTATAGGTTCTCAGTGTTGCGTGCATTCGATAAGGGTCTACCAGGGAGAGGATCCCATGTGCCCATCCCACCTCTAACGAAGTAGCTGGGAGGTTGGGTGTCTGGGACCATGACGGAGTCACATTCCTGGTTTCTAGTGTTCTGCCTTGCCTGTTATTGTCTGTACTTGGGCTGTGTCACAGTATGGTGTATCGCTCGTATGTTTGATGGCCAGCTCTGAGGCTGCGTCTTATTTGCTCATCGAACCTGAGAGGAGGACTGGAGTCAATAGTGGCCAGGTTAGGGCCTTTACTGAACTTGTCTTGTGTACTGCTCTCTCGTCATGGTGGGGTTAGGGATACCGCATTAAAGGGCCTCTGGGTCTCAGTGTGAGTATGCCCATGTCAACTGGGAGGGAGGGAATGGGGTGGGGGGTGCCCCTGTTTTCACGGGGAAGTCGTATGGTATGTCTGGAGGTCTTGTGAGAAGGGAGGCGTGTCTCCATCCACTGCCACCCTGGGGTGCCCCCCCTTCTTCTTGTCCCCCCCTTTAAGCATCCTCCCTTTGCTCCTGCTCAGCCCTCTTTGAAGTAACTCCTCATTCCGCGTGTCCCTTCCCTCCATCTCCCCCTATTTATTAGCAGCATTCCCCTCTCCTCATCTCTCCCAGTATTAAGTGCAGTCCCCCACTGCCTTTTTGTCTACCATTCCCCTCCCCACGTCCTCCGTGTTATATCTTTACAGACCTCAACTAGCTCCTTATCAGGTCTTGTGTAGAGAAGAGGGCCTATAGATAGTAATAAGACCAGTATTTCCACTCCACCATGTACTATATCATTGAGTCATCAAGAGGTAGTCCCTCCGTTCTGGGTGTCCCCTCAGGTTTGAGTCACAGGTATCGAGAGTTGAAACTGAAGCAAAAACCCCTCTCCTATAGTAACCCCCTTCCCAATCCAAATGCCAGTTACCCAGGGTAAGAAGCTCACCATGCTCAAAATGGGGGTCTCGGGGCGTTGCAATCTCTGGCCCCAAGTTCCAGCTCTGGCTGTTACCAGAAGCCAAGCGTTCAGTCGAGACGTAGGGGCGCCGGGCTTCGAGTGTGTGGGAATTCACCCATGAGGTCCCAACACCCGTGACACCCCCTCCCAAAACCAAGTCCCATCTACCCAGGGGGGCAAAGAGAGACCCTTCCAGTCCAAATTGGGATCATCTTTGGTTGCAACCCCAGGCAACCAAAATCGCTCCGGGCCCAGCGATTGTTGGAAGCTAAAAATCCAGTCAGGCAGTGAAAAACTAACTTGGGGAGGAGGAGTGTTGATTGTCGTGCCCCTAGATCTCTAGCTTGCACCTTAAATTGAGTACTGTTCTCCGGTGGCGTAAGGTGTAGAGCAGACCTCCCAGGCATTGAGGCATTGAGATCTGTCTGTGTATCCTGAGAAAGCTGGGCCTGCTCCTCCTGTCGGCCGAAGTTATTCCTCAGTTAAGCTCGGGTCATGATACCTCCATGGCCTGGGTCCTCCCGGGGAGCACCCTCATCTGCACTGTGGAAGCCGCTGTGGGGGCGGTCCAGGTCTTCTTGTTACCTGTCCTAGGATCCAATCTGGGACCTTCGTGGGTGGTAGGACCAGGCATTGTAGGAAATTCTGGAATCGGCTGGCCATCGCAGGGATACTGTAAGCATCCGAGCACTTACCTTATTGGTCTGCCGATACCAGGATCGGTCAGACCGCCGCTCCCATGCCGGGACAGGATCCATTAAGTATCAGGGACGCCGACCACAATGCGCCTGCCCATTTTGAGGATGCAGCGCATGCGTACCTGCACCATGAGGTCAGACGAGCTCTAAACAACTGAGCTCAATGCACACGTACCTTTTGGGGGCGTGGTTAGGAAAATCACGCCCCTAGTCATATAAAAGCCCAGTCTGCCGCTAAAACGGTGCCCTGTTGTGGTTCCTAGTTTTCCTTCCTCTCTAGTGTCCCCTCAGTGTGTTCCTGTATCCTTTTGATAGTTCTTTGGTTTTGACCCAGCTTGCTCTTGTCTATTCTTATTTCTGGTTTCCCTGACTTGGCTTCATTCCTCACTATTGTGTATTTCTGGCTTCCCTTGACCTTGGCTTGTTCCTGGTGTTTCTTTTAGTTTCTATTTTATCCTGCCATTATAAGGACCGGTTTAGGAACTTATTTTCCATCTCTAGTGGTTTTCAGTCTGCATATTGGGTAATACCATTTGATGTCTGGCCAGAAGGCTAAAAGGAAATCCCCATTTGTATGGGATGTTTCGTTCACAGTTGGAGTGTCACAGGCCTCAGCACTCTGCTATGTTCCAATGTTAAGGGGGAGAGGTCTTGAAACAGGGATATTATCACGAGGATCTAGCTCTGGCCTTGTGCATAATCTTCTCCTTTGTGGAGAATAAATGGAGGCAGCATATTACATCTCTTGGTGTCCCTTCCTCCAGTCTTGGTCATGTCGCCCTGTGTGTTCTGTCGAATTCAATACAAGCGGGTGCATCTGCGCCTAAAATATCTCTGAACAGCATATCCAATATATTTGCGACATTTTCGGTGCCTTGTGCCTCAGGGAGGCCTCTGACCCCTGTTGTCCAGGTCTTTGGTATGCCACTTGAGTGCTAGCAGCATGTTCCCCTGTCTCTTCAGGACAACACTGGAGGTCTCGTTGTGCGTTTGGAGGGACTGTGTTGATGCTTCCAGGGCCTGTATGCGGCTCCCCAGGGATGCCATCTCCGTCCTCAGCGTGGCAACTTCTGTGCTGATAGCCACGTGGATGTCTGCTAATAGTGTTTGCAGGTCCGATTTGGGGACCCTGGTGGCGGGGAGTGCCCTAAGGTCGGCGCTGATATCGGCCAGCTTGGGTCGATCCCTGTCCGAATTAGGCGGTGCTTGCTGGTATCCATCCATTGGTCTGGGATTAGAGAAGCCCGGGTGGTTCCTCTGTGTCTGGCCGGTGTCTGGACACTTGGTACAGTGGAGTGTGCTGTTAGGAGCTACGTGGAAGAGAGCAGGAAGATCAAGCGGCCATTACCTCTTGTGTACACTCTAATGTAATGTACTGTACAAGTCTATGCTATTCTATATACTAGCACACCAAGGTACTTACAGATACGTTTTATTAGCCAACCTGACACTGAACTCTCAGATACATTCTGTTAGTCAACATGACAATGAATACTCAAACCCATGCTATTAGCCAGCATGACATGGGCTATGGCATTGCTGTAAAGGTTATTATCATGAATATTTGTATATTGATATATATTCAGTTGAGAATGGTTTTTCAGAGAGTGTGTCTTACCAAGTAGGACCTGCTAATCTATATATATATATATATATATATGGAGTCTCACTATATCCCTTTCCTTCATTTTCATCTGTAAATACAGAACAAAAATATTCATTGAGGCAGTCAGATAGACCTCTTCTACATACCTTCCTTATTTTGTTTTTAATCTAACTAATCCTTGTTTTACTTTTCTTTTCTCATTTATGTATCTAAAACATGTTTTGTCCCCCTTTTTTACTGACTGTGCTATTTTATCTTCTGTGTGTGATTTGGAAGCTCTTATAACTTGCTTAGCCTCTTTTTACCTAATCTTATAGATAATTTTGTCTTTCTCACTATGGGTTTTTGATATAATTCCTAAATGCTAACTTTTTGTTTTTAACTATTTTGGCCACATCTTTGCATTTACTGACAAGCCTAATGCAGTTTTCTGTTGCCTTCAATAGTGCAACTTTTAAATAATCCAATTTCTCTTGGACTCCATTTAAATTGCTCCAGTCTGATAATGACTCCTCTACACATATTCTAATTTTAGATAAGTCTGTTTTTCTAAAGTCTAAAACTTTTGTTTTTGTGTGGTGTGACTCAGTCACTGTTCTTATATTAAACCACACTGACTGATGATCACTGGATCCTAAACTTTCACCTACAGTAATATCTGATACCAAATCTCCATTTGTTAACACTAAATCTAGTATGGCCTCTTTACGAGTTGGCTCCTCAACAACTTGTTTTAGAGACAATCCCAGTAGGGAGTTTAGAATATGTGTGCTCCTGCCACAAGTAGCTAATTTTGTTTTCCAATTTACATCAGGAAGATTAAAGTCACCCATGATGATAACTTCCCCCTTCATTGTCATTTTAGCTATTTCCTCAACTAGTAGATTATCTAACTCTTCAATTTGTCCTGGGGCCTATAAATCACACCTACACGAGTTACTGTGTGATTACCAAATTCTAACGTAGCCCAAACGGACTCTATGTTTGCCTCACTAACTTTTATTAGGCTAGATTTTATGCTATCCTTCACATACAGGGCCACCCCTCCCCTTTCTTGCCTTCCCTGTCTTTTCTATATAAAGAGTACCCTGGTATTGCTATGTCCCAGTCATTTTTCTCATTATACCATGTCTCAGTAACAGCGACTAAATCTACACTATCAGTTGCCATTATTGCCACAAGTACATGGATCTTTTTCCCTAAACTGCGAACATTTGTAGACATGACTCTAAGCTTGTCATTTTTAACACACTTGCTACAGGCACCTTCTGTCCTTGTTTTGGGGGACAATTGGATTGATGTTTTATCACCCTTTTGCCCCCCCCTCCTAGTTTAAATACATCCTAGCAAAACCTCTGAACTGCTCACTGAGAACATTTGTTCCCTTTTGAGAAAGATGCAAACCATCTTTTTTTGTACAGTTTATTTCCATTCCAAACAGAGCTACCATGAGAAATAAAGCCAAATCCTTGCTCCCGACACCATTCACCAAGCCACAAATTAAAGTCCCTAATACGCATCCGCCTGTCGTTCTGAGTGTTATGCACAGGCAGAACTTCAGAGAATGACAGTGTGGAAGCAACCTGCCGTATATCATTGGCAAAACACTAAAAACTTCCTTAACCTCTGAAACCTCATTGCAAGCCAAGTCATTTGTCCCTAGATGGACAAGTACATCCAATTCCCCTTCCTGCTTTGCTTGCTTAACAATATTACAGATATGTCTCCTGTCTCTGTGAGCAGTAGCTCCGGGAAGACACCTCACAAGACCACCATTGTCCATCTCCACACCTCTTATGATGGAATCCCCAACAACAACAACTGCTTTCTATTAGGCCTCACCATAGTCTCCAAGCCGGTCTCCACAACACCACTAGCCTCAGTGCCTCTCTCCACAACACCACTAGCCTCAGTGTCTCTCTCCACAACACCATTACACTCTGAAAGTGCAGAAAATGAATTATGTAGAGCAACAGACTGTGCAAAATGCCTTTTATCCACAACTCTAAGTCTACCAGATCCTACAGTAATCCATCTGCCATACCTAGTATGTCTCTGTGGCAGTGGCTTTGCAGCAGTTCCAGTCTGAGTTTGTTCTCCAGATAATTTACAAATCTCAGAATTCAAAAATACAATCTCCTGCCGCAAGATCGAGAACTGTCTACAGATTAGACACAAACCAAACCTCCAAAAAGTGGAACGTGAAACAAATGCATAGCAACTATTACACTGAACTAAGTCTGCCATTCCAATGAGGAGAATAATTTAAATCAAACAAATCTTAACGTTTTATTTATCCTCCTGAATACCTCAGATTACCTCAAGTTTATCTCCAGAATATCTCCAACTACACACTTAGAAGCGACACTCTCCAGAATATCTCCAACTACACACTTAGAAGCAACACTTAGATGAAGCAACCAAGCTATACTAGCCAAGCTAATGACCATATTATCCAGTGATATATGTACGTATAATCTTGGGCGCAGTATACGCCTTTTTCTATTTGCTTGTTTATTCACAAGGTTGGGAAGCCTTGCACTGTGTACTGCAGCCCACACACACAGATCCTCTTAACTATAGTGAGCGCCTATTACCTATACTTTTTTACAAATCTAGACAAGAAGCTTTTGTCTTTATTAGAATGCTTGTACTCTATATCCTATTAGAGTCAATAGTTAATGTAAGTTGTTTGGCAAACTTCTAACATAGGTACTGTGGTATTGTTGATATTTTTGCATGGCTATTCTACTTTTTACTAGCTATTCTGTTTAATGTACACCCTATGAGGTATCCAACAAAGCATGTGTGAACTTAAGAAATCACTTAAAAAATGTAAAGATGTCTTAATTGTTAAAGGGACACTATCGTCGGTAGAACATCTACAGCTTAATGTAGTTGTTATGGTGTCTACAGCCTGTCTCTGCAGGCTTATTAATGTAAACACTGCCTTTTCTAATAAGAGGCAGTATTTGCATGCAGAATCTGCAGGGACAATCTTTCATCCGAATTACTACATTAAGGTTAGAGTAAATCTTCAATGGGCTATAATCTGTATATTTATTTAGAAAATCGTCATCATTCCAACAGAGTGACTGCCTTTCACTGAGGTAGAACTGTTAATATGTAACCAGTGGCAGCATATTAATTCTAATTTAATCAGCCAAGAACAATTACACACAGAGTGTTCCGTACGGTGACAGGAGCACTGCCTTAAGCTAAGCTTTTCATACTTAGTGTTCTCTGAACCTGTTGTTAGCTGTCTAAATATATTGTAAAAAAATGACTAAAAATATGCCTGGACTGAATAGCTTTGTGGATAACTATACGTTAAGTACACAGCTAAGAGAAGCACACAGTTAGAGGACAACACAATTAACAAATACAAAACACAATGTAAGTACTAAGGTGACTCCCCGGAGATGGATAACTGATGTCCTCAACCAATTTCACTTACCTAGACTGCGTAGGGTCATGTCACGGGCTGCCACTATATATATTCACTCCCTATATATATATGATAGATAACAGAGCCTTTAAAGGGAGTGAATCATTGCTGGACTTTCCAAAACATGTCTATTGAATTATTAGATTTATACTATGTTATTAGATATGTTTATATTTCAGATGCATTTGTCTTGTTTATTATTCGTTTTTGCTAGCTAATAGACTTATGCACAGTGAGAGAATGTGGTTTTTCAAAAATAAATATAAATTATTATATATAATTATTTGTTTTATTGCACTTGATTTTTTTCTCTTTATTGCTCACTTCTCTCAACTGATCTAACTTCAACATTTAGTCACGGTCCCCTTCATTTATTTTCCTATTAATCATCTCTATTATTTTGTTTTTGGCCCCACAGGCGGAATTCAGAAACATGAATCAAACCAAACATGCTTGGCCATAGTAAGCTTCATTTGTTTTGCGATTCTGATCCACTTCAGCTGGGATCTATAACCCAAATTCAGACAGTTTGCACTTCGGAATTAAATAAATCTCCTACTCTACTACACAAGTTTTATTCATTCATTCATTCATTCTTTCATTCATTCATTATTTCATTCATTCATTCATTCATTCTTTCATTCATTCACCTAGTTGTAAATTTACCTCCTTAGGCCTGATAAATAATTAATTATTTGATACCTTCATTATTATGATTATTAGTACCTTCAGTTACACTTTATTTGCACATTATAAATTCTACCCTTCTTTTAGAACAGCACCAATTTGTGTTTCATTCAAAAGTCATTTAATTGTAATGATACCTATCATACCTCTAGCTGTGTCCTAAAACCTTCTTTTACTTCTAGAGCTGTGATTTATCGCTCAGTTTATTATCCATTAATCAAGAACCAACCCTGTGTTTGTATTTCTACTATTCTCCAGAAAGAGATCTTCTTTACTGACATTGTACTAATGCTTCTCCTTTTTAACTCTATTGGCCACTTCTCACCTGATCTTTGAATTATGAAACCAACATTTAGTGGATGTTCCCTATCAAATATGGAGTCACTGGAAGAATCAGAATCTTGAAACAAACAAACATCTCATCCACTGTGCTAGTTGTTTGCTCAGCTATTTGTGCTCTGGGAGGCATAACCACCTAGCAAAGCTAGTGGGTATGCGGCAGCCTCCCGGATTCAAATGCCAAATATAAAAAATACGTTTGTGCTGTGCTCCTGCACAGCAACAGCGTTTCAGCCATTTAGGTAATCAGGAGAGCAGTGCTGAGCACGAGAATCCTGATTACATCAGATTTTTAAAATAGCGTAATTGATGGAGGACTCCATATTTGTGTCTGATTTAGTGGATGCCTCTCCTAGTGGCAGTCCCATCAATGTTGTAAAGCTCCATAAGAGAGCTTTCTGTCAGGGTACCTTTGGTGTCTACCTCGGAGGAGGGTAGACACCTAGACGTCCATCCTCCCAGGGGGGCTGACTCACCCGATCCTTGCACTCCTCCCGGTCGTTTACACGCCGGCCGCGATAGCTCCGCCTCCTTTTATGACGCGGCGCTCAGTAGCCGACGTCATGACGGCAATCACGTTCCGACCCGTCAATCACGGCAACCAAGTGCCGAACAACCAATCAGGACCCGTTGGGGGCGGAGCCAACAGTTAAAGAGCCAAGGTATAAAAAAGGGTTCTGTGGAATGATTCATTGCCCTGTCGTGGTTCTAGCTAGTCTGGTCACTCAGTGCAATTACCTCTATTGTCTTTTGGTTCCTGACTCGGCTTGTATTTTGACCCTGCTTTCCTCTCTTGTCCTTTTGACTCGGCTTGTCTCTCGCTTACCTGATCTCTCGTTCCCTCGACCTCGGCTTGTCTCTGACTATTCTTTTGCTTTCTCCTTACGTTAGTCCGGCCATTCTAAGGTCCGGTATACGTACCTATCCCCTGTTTGTATTCTGCGTGTTGGATCCCTGTCACGATCCTGACACTTTCCTTGCCAGGGATCTGTCCTCTTCACTTTCTATGGAGGATATGGTCCCAGTTCCACGTAAAAAGAATAAAGATAGTCTCTTCTGCCAGTTCCTCATCTGAGGATAATTTTTCTGCTCCTCCTTCCCCTCATACTCATTTGAGTAAGCACAAAATTAACGGGACAGGATCCCAAAAGAGGAATAGTGTGTTTCCCTCGTTTGAGCACCAGAAACACCTTGAAGAAAAAATGGACAAATCTTGTTGGAGGCTAGATAGTCCTTCTCCTCCTTCTTCTAGAGCGTTTGCTCATTCCTCCTCCCAAAGCCGATCCAGTTCTAGACACGGTTCTCCGGAAATAGACTGGGAATATGAGGAAGTGGTCTGTTCAGCAGCTTCAACTGAGTGAGGAAACTTAGCAAAGTTCAGATGACTTGAAGGAGTCTCCTAGGAAAGACTCTTCCATCAAAATTATTTCACTTCAGATGAGCTATGGAGCACGATTCTGAGGTTAGAGATTTTGCCAAACTAGCCTTTAGACCCCGTTGGTTAAGGAGGTTGACCTTCCCCTCAGGAACCACATTGGTATACCGGACATCCAGGCATTAATGGCTCCTGAGGTAGATCCTGCTCTGTTATCTATCAAATTTGCAGAACCCACTGGCTCCAAGCAACAGGAATGTCTGACCTAGCCCCTAAATCACATGAGTTCCCAAATTTGGAGGATTCTTACCCTTTCGGTCCTTCATTCATTCAGGAGGTTAAGTGCCTGTTATAAGGCAAGGAGATCCTTTTCAGAGCTCAAAAAGTCCTTTAAAGGCTACAAGAAGCCCTTTCGGACAGAGGGTCACCCCTATCGCGCTGCAGGAGCATTTCAGGAAGCATCTCACCAGGCCCAGTGCCACCACTACAGTAAAAAATACAAGTTCCCAGGTAGAGGAGCTCATACCAGAGGTGGTCCAGCTATTAAGAGAAAACCTATTCATTCAAGTAAGTGTGCCTCCTCACACGCCACTAAATTGGAAGGATATTTCTTCAGACAAATGCATTGTAAAGAATTTTCAAAGGGGTTTACAACTCCCCTTTTTACGCTTCCCAGTTCAGAGGTGTACACCCGGCAGAGAGGTGAACCCAGTGATAGATGCCTCCCTTTCTCTAGCTTAAAATCAAGGGAAGATAGAGTTGGTAGACATGTCTATCACAGGATGGGTCAGTCCGTTGTTCCCTATCCCAAAATCAGACGGGCTCTAAATGTGAGGTCTCTAAACACTTTCATCAAGAGAAATAGGTTCAGGATGGAGGGTTTATCAGATCTTCCAGGCTTAGTATAGAAAAATGTACTCTGCATAAAGTTAGACCTAAAAGATGCCTTCCATTCGGTCCCTATAGCCAAGTAATACAAGTAAGGTGGAAAGGAAAGGTTTGGCAGTGGACTATTATGGTGTTTGGCCTATTCAATGCACCATACACAGGGTAGCCATTGAGAATCAAAATTATTTCTCCCCAAGAAGGTCAGAGAAGAGTTTAAGTCTATTCTGGGGTTAGAAATCCCACTTCCTCGTCCCCTGTTAGAGCATCCGTTTGCGGTTACTCTGACGTCAGATGCCTCATATCACAGTTGGGGTGTGTTTACAGCCCAAAGCACAATAAGAGGAATTTGGTCAGACCAAGAGAGACTCCTTCATATAAACATCTTGGAGTTAAGAGCAATAAAATTAGCTCTTCAGGGTCTAGTTCCTCTAAACCATGTCGGTTAAAGTCCAAGAGGACAGCGGTGGCTTATATAAACCACCGAGGGGGCACAAGATCAAGGGGTCTTTGTTTGGAGGCTCTAGATCTTTGGTCTTGGGCTTTAGAAAATAAAGTTGGGGTTTACACAGAATACAAAAAAAGTCACTCAAACCACAACAAAGTGGATGAGTGAAAGATGTATAGTTAGTAAGCATCTTGTTTAAATACCTGTTTAGCTTAGCTGACTACAATCTAGATTAACGTAAATATAGCAGGATGAGAGTAAATACCTTATTGGTGGGGGTGTCCGAGACCAATAGACACAATATCTAAGGAGTAATAAACAGTCCTAACAAAGGTAATTAGAAAGTTTGTAGGACAGTAAGATAAAACGCCTCTCTCCTTGGTAAGTTAGCTAGATAGTTAGTAGAGACAGAATAAAAAGAGTGAGAGAATAATTAAATCAGTGAAAACACTGCATGTCAATATTAAATAGATATCCCAAGTGCATAGGTGATAGGTGCCCAACACCCACTTAGAACATAACACCCGCCACGCGTTTCGGTGCACTAGCATGTGCATCTTCGTCAACGGCCCCCTAAGTGGGAAGATTGGATGCTCATGATGATCCACCTAAGTTGGAAGATTGGATGCTAGTAGTATCTGCAATATGAAATTCTCATTTGCTCCATGCATAAAGGATCTGCTCTCAGTATCTTTTTACGACATTTCATTTATCTTTACAGAACTTATTTTATTGCAATTTACGATGTTCCAGTTTCAGTGTCTTGTTGATACTTTCATAAGCTTATACATTGTTTTCTTGTTATCTGTTTAGCTGTGTGTATTGCACAAAAGTTTTCAAGAAAATTTCATATGTCTTTACAGCATATTAAATATTTTCTTGTTTCCCTTTACTTTTGGGTTCTTGAATTGTTTTTTGTTTAGATGTTTAATTAAGTTTCTCTACCCTTTGTACTCTGTTACTGGTTGACTGTTTTTTGGTATAGTTTACCCATGTTTTGGGTTATATATATTCTTTGTGTTTCGTGGGATGAGCTAACCATCCACAGTTTCCAATTTTAAAAATCTGAGGTAACCAGGATTCCCGCACTCAGCACAGCTCTCTTGATTACCTGATTGGCTGAAATGATGTTGCTGTGCAGGAGCACAGCGCAAGAATTTTTCCAGCTCTGGCATTTGACTCCGGGAGGCTGCCGCATACCCACTAGCTTTGCTAGGTGGTTATGCTCATCCCTAAGACAAAGAAAGCTTGCAGATCATAGATTCCTGCAAACTCTGATATGTCACTACACAGATTCTGAATTTAGCCAGACTGATCGGCCCAAATACAGCCAAATTGCAATATCTAATTAAACAATCAAATCCATTTTTCTTTTTTTAATTGTATTTATTTAAATGTGAATGCATAGCAATCTTAACAGGATTATGTGGTTTAATAAATTTCATTCATGAAAGGACAAACATATTATGCTGCAAATATTGAACACAAGACATATGTGCCATTTAGTGATGTTGGATCAGCGGTCACAGACAAAATATTCTGAAAAGCGAAAAGCAAAATTGTAGTATTAAAACATAGTTCACTTTACATACAATAATCATTACATTAGAACATAGCTCAATTCATCAACAATGTTAATTTCCTTTAAAGGTTTGCTTAAACATTTCTAAGTTTGATAAATAAAATTAACAAACCTATGGGGTCCAATCAAAAGATTAGGCATTGCGGTGATTACAATTTTTCAATATTGAGGCCAAAACAATGAAATTTAAATAACTTCAACTCATCTATATTCCCAATCTTGACTTTTAGGCCATGGGTCCAAATAGGGATTGTAGTGTATAGGGATTTGATTGTTATTTTCATTCCCCTTAATTTCTATTTTACTAATCTGCTATTTACTAAGCTTTGTTTTTGTGAATATTACCATCATTTTATTTAGAACCATGGAAACACCAGATGGTTTCGGGGATGCTGGGATCATAACAGCAGCCATTGGATTGGCAGTCCTTGCCACTGATATTCGGATACCCACATTCCTTTCTGAATTTGTGGCTCACAGAACAACCTGGTTAAACCACGTGGAGAAAACATTAAATTGATCATATTATTGCAAAGATAAAAAGCCAGTACATGCTAAAATTTACCCACATGGATGTAGATATTTACCTTTAAACTTTGGATAGAAGCAAAAGTTAACCCCTCCAGTGCTTGGATCAAAGCAGCAGCCAATGGCTTGGCACTCCTTGGCGCTGATCCCAGGGTAACCGCAGTCCTTTCTTTTTTTGGTGCCTACACTGCACTGTGAACTATCTGAAAACATAAAACAGCACATGTAACAATAATGAATATAATGCGCACACACATGGTATTAATTAAACAAAAAATTGTTTGGATTTGACCAAAGAATGATTTAGGCCAAAGTAGCCCAAAGTAGTATTTTCTATTCCATTCCGACCTAACTTTTTGAATTCCCAGGGCCATTTTCAACATATGCACAACTTAGTTGCGCTCTCTGCCTGTAAAGTGCTGAGTACACCTGCTAACACTGTATAAATAAATATACATACACTCTATACCAAGCATGTCAAACTCACAGCCCACAATGGACATCTTTGCGGCCCGGCGAGCCGCGAGTACATGCTTGGTGTTAAAGCCGAGTAGGTACCTGCTTTCTCCACATTGCCTACTCTGCTAAAATTTACCCGACTGGAGAAGAAGCAGGATGCTGGCGGCAGCGAGTGAGCTCAGTTTTCCTGCTCCTCACTCTCCCTCACACGTGCCGTCTGAAGTGATGCCGGGTGCCGGAATATGACGTCATATTCCAGCACCCGGCATCATTAAACTGAGCGCTAGGAAGAAGTGAGGAGCAGAAATACTGAGCTCCAGATAGAAGATCCCCACTGGAACCCAAGAAATTATGTGAGTGTGTGCAAGAATGTGTAAATGTGTATGTGTCTGTCTGCCTGTCAGTGTGTGTATGTGTGTCTATCTGTGTGTGTGTGTCTGTCTGTCAGTGAGTGAGTGAGTGTGTGTGTCTGTCAGTGAGTGTGTGTGTGTCTGTCAGTGAGTATGTCTGTGTGTCTGTCTGTCAGAGAGTGTGTCTGCCTGTGTGTTTGTCAGTGAGTGTGTGTGTGTGTGTATGTGTGTGTGTCTGTCAGTGTGTATGTCAGTGAGTGTCTGTCTATTTGTCATTGAGTCTGTATTTGACTATCATTGTGTGTCTTTCAATGAGTGTCTGTCAGTGTTTGTGTGTCTGTCAGTGTGTGTCTGTTAGTGTGCGTCTGTGTCAAATCGGTGAGTCTGTGTCAAATCAGTGAGTCTGTCAGTGATGTCTGTTTGTTTGTCATTGAGTGTGTGTGGGACTGTCAGTGAGTATGTGCCAGTGTGTGTCTGTTGGGAATGTGTGTGTGTGTCAAATCAGCGAGTCTGTGTCTGTCAGTGACATTTGTGTGTTTGACATTGAGTATGTGTGTGTGTGACTGTCAGTATGTATCTGCCAGTGTGTGTCTGTCAGTGAATGAGTGTGTGCTTAAAGGTACACTATAGGCAGTCCACTTTAGCTCATTGAAGTGGACTGGGTGCAGTGTCCCACTCCCCTTTAACCCTGCACGTTTAATGATTGCAGTTTCTGAGAAACTGCGATAATTACCTTGAGGGGTTAACTCCTTTCAGGTGGTTAGGTGCATGAGGACATCCAGCGCCTGCTAAATCCCCATAGGAAAGAATTGATACAATGCTTTCCTATGAGGAAGCCTAATGCAAGCCCTATAGTATATTCTTAATCAGGAAGAGGTGTGGCCTTGATCGGTAGGAGTGGGGCAAACTTAGATTAGGGGGGTGCCCAGTTTTAGTCATGCCTAGGGAAGCATAAATCCAAAATACACCACTGGCCTAAGCCCCTCTATAATTATTTTCTATTTATTTCAAAAATGAGCTGGTCATATTGCGCGTCCAAAAGTTCTTCTGAGAAAGAGATGATACATGGAAGCAGGTGTATCTATGTATTGCTATGCAACAAATAACAGTAACTACATTTACCACTTCACAATAGAGACATTTTTGAATGTAAACATATTGTAACACAGCAATTTTGTGTATAGATTGCTTTGCAGACAAACTTAAAAATTAGAAATGTGTAAATTTACACAATTTTTTATTTTTCACGTATTTGTTTATCCTTTATAAAAAAAATATTTGGAAAATGAAAAGCTTTAGACATTATACAGTGTCCTTTATCGTGCAATATTTCACACAGAGTATGAAACTTTAGTATAAAGGAAAAAGTAGGAGTGGCACAAATATTTGAATACAAATTGTAAAATACCTTGCTAATAGGTATTTTTAAGAACCCTGAAGGACTTACTAGTAGCACAGATTACTAAGAATCGCAATAGAATAGAAAAAGAATCTGCATTTATCCATAATGCCCAGATATAATAAATACCGTTCAATCTTATATTTCTAAATCACAGCTATTTAAGACTGCCACTATTTAATTACCTCACAGGCTACACCGTGTTTGCATATATCCTTTGATCTCTGAAATCATTTTGTGTAACCTTTAGATTGTAAATTATCATGCTAAGCACTTTGTATAAAGTACTTGTATTTTCTAGACAGTAAGCTCAATGACTCATTTTATACGAGTATGACTTTATTTGCCTGTATTTCCTCTGTTGTACAACGCTGCGGAATATGGTGGTGCAACATAAATACTTAATATTAATAATTTGGGAACAGGTAAGCTTAAACTGTTGGCAACACGGCTACCGTCCTCGTATGAGTAAGACGTACCTTGGAATTTGCTGAAAAAACACCAGATTTCTTCTGAGATACTGGCATCAAAGCAGCAGTTCCGTTTTTCACATTCCGAAGCGCTGATTCCACGATATCCGCACTCTCTTCTCTGACGTGGAGCAATGCTACATCCGTTGGTGTCACTTGCTGTCAATATAAAAAGAAAACTTTTAATGCAGAAATGTTGCAGCATTTATAAAGACTGTAACTTCAAGCTTTCTTCACTTGTCAATCATCATTCAAGATTTTAGCAGAAGAAAAACAGAGGAACAAGTCACTTTATCTTATATCTACCTCGGCTAACTACAAAACTTTCACAATCACTGTAATAGTAATTATTACTGTGAAGGAATACCCCATCACGTTCGGCTCTTTCTGTTCATCTGGATTCATGTCCCAGTTTTGCTTCATTTATGTTGTTTCGGTTCCCGAACCGAGACCACCCGAGAGACCCATTAGAACGTGGAACGTTATGTATCTTGTACAAAAACCGCAAAGGAAATAATTCATAGAATGCTACACTGGGTGTGGGACTCGGTCGTTGAGTGACTGAAACTCATTTTGACCAGGCACTCCCGCGAACACCGGTCACCATGGACCGACGGCCTGTTCCAGTTCACCTAGATGAACGGCGTTCGGGAGTTACAGACTACCGAACAGAGAGAGCATTCTACATGAACCAGCTTTACTATACCTTATATGGTTTTTGTACAAAACCCCACGAATAGAGACCGGCTCTTGCCACAAATTCTATGGAACTATTTGGGGCTTCTACTTTGTGGCAGACAGGTCAGAACTTCCCTCTGATGGCGATATAAAAATACCAAACAGATATGGGTGATTTTTGGATATATTGCTAACCCAGATCCAGGCTATCCAGGGATGTGAGTTTTGTAGGGTTCCCATGTGTTGTGGAGGTACTTTTAGGGTGTTGTAAAATTGTTCATTGTTCTGTGCATGGAGATAATTGAGTTTAGTACAGTTCCTGACTCAATTATCTCACAGGCACAGAGGAGGAGTTTACTGACTGTATAAATTTGATGTCTGTACTGCCAATAAACAGTCTTCTCCCAGCATTAAACCTTGGCTCATGTTTGGGGGGAATATGTGATACTGTCGATATTATACCTCATGGATTATTGGTGTGTTATTATGGGAAAAGGGCATCTGTGGTGGTGATACTTTGACAGACTGGCCACAATTACCTTTCTTTTTCTTCCTATTATTAATATTAATGCCGTTATTATTTATCTTTATCATGATCATTCTTATTTTAATTAATGTTACCATTATTATTTTTACAATTATTATTACTAAACTAGTGCATTTCGTCAGTTGGAGTTTCATTAGTGGCATCAGAGCTGGCTCATCCTATAGGCAACTTAGGCAGTCGCCTAGGGTGCACTGCCCTGGGGGTGCCAAATTTGAATGACCGGTAGGAGGGAAGCGCACAGGGTGGCCAGGAAACGCGGTCCGCAGACCGCGGTACAGGAGTTCTGTTTCCTGTACCCGACGAGACTGAAAGGAAGTTCTCTCTCAGTGAGCACTTCTTGTCAGGCCAGCCGTGTACAGGAATCAGACTGTACTGTGGTCCGTGCCGCACGGCCACACTATACCGAGGTAGGAGGCACACAAGGGAAGAAGGGGGGGAGTGGAAGAGACAATCAGGGGAAGGGTGTAGTGGAAGACACCACCAGGGGAGGGAGGAGAGAGTCCACCAGGGGAGGGGAGAGGGGAAGAGAGATCACCAGGGGAGGTGGGGAGTGGGAGAGAGACCAGGAGGGGAAGGGGGGAGAGAGAGAGACCAGCATTGGATGGAGGGGGGTGAGACCACCAGGGGAGGGGAGGAGTGTGAGAGACCACCAGGGGAGGGGGTCAAAGATAGAGAGACCACTAGGGGGGTAAAGACCACCAGGGGAAGGAGAGGGGAGAGTCCACCAGGGGAAGGGGAGAGAGGTTAGAGTCCACCAGGGGAGGGGGGGAGGTAGAGAGAGACCATCAGGGGAGGAGGCGAGGGAGAGAGACCACCAGGAGAGGGGGAGACACCACTAGGGGAGAGAGACACCACCAGGAGAGAGGGGAGAGGGGGGATAGACCACCAGGGGGAGTAGGGGGGAGATGCTAGACCACTAAGGGACGGGGAGAGGGAGATCACTAAGGAACAGGGAAGCAGGAATCCTACACACACACTGAAACACAAAATGCTTCCCTTACACACTCACCTTTATACACAATGCAGCCCTTGCACACATACACAGAAGCACACAATGCATCCCTTACACAGACACACACACTGCTTCTCTTAATGCATCTCTTACACACACTCAATACACCCATTACAGACACACACACTGCCTTACATTACATACACAGAAACACACATTGCATCCCTGACACATACAAACAGAGATCCACACAATGCATCCCTTACACGCACACACACACACTACATCCCCTATACACACACAAATCCTTGCACCTGCCCTGAGTGGCTTCAAAAAAAAGAGATGATTAATAGGGGGAAAAAGCTGATTGATAGTTAAGGGACAGCCACTAAATATGATTTTATTAAAAGATCAAGTGAGAAGTGACCAATAGAGGGGGAAAAGCAAAATAAACATATAACTATATAATTGATAAAAAAAAAAATATATATATATATATATATAGATATATATATATATATATATATATATATAAATGATCCTCCTTATTTTCCTATATCGGTTACTTCTTCTAACTAGAACCAAATTGTGGGAAAATGGGTCTACTGTACAATACATACATAATATTTGTATCAACACAAGACATTTTTGGGGAAAATCGATTTGTCTGAACCAAATTTTTTTCTTTGTGCACAAGCTTAATTATTACCAAAATATCACTCATCATTAAATAATGTGTAATATCACACCTGTATGACTTCTAGCTATTTCTAGGTCACTAATCTTAATTATAGTAGTGAATCATATGACTCACTTAATAAATTAGTAAGGAGATATTAAAATGGTATAATCATAAGCACAGTGTTTTATTTTTTCATAGCTTTCTGTGGATCTATTTAGCCTATGAGATGCAAACTCTGAAAACGAGACACCGCCAAACTGAGATAATTCAACATTAGCTTTCAATAGTTCCCTATTATTTGGTAAGAAAAAAGTATATTAAATATATATAGAATATATTCTGTATATTGCCATCAAACTTTAAAGGGTTACTCCAACCTGTTTTTTTTCTTTCTTCAAATAATGCCCTTTTGAGCATTATTCTGAAAAAAAGTTTTTTTAAAAATGCACTTTAATTTTTTCTTAACAACTCTCAATGCTGCTCGGCACGCGTCCTTGTGATGCCACAAGAGCAAAGCGAACGTCCAATCAACGGCTTCTCATGAAAGACTTTGATTGGATCATTTCACCAATTTCACCAGCTCAGGGCGCATGCACACACTCTGAGACGGCAAAGGCAGGGGAAGAGGGAGTGGTGAGGGAAATAAGGATGAGTGAGGGCTGAAATAAAATAAAATAGCAGAGATTATAGAGACGAGTGATGGCTGTATTTAATTGGGGAGGGAAGGATACTTAATCTTAATCTTGCAGGCTCGGCCTGTCGTTAGTGTGCGGTGCTTGCTGACGACAGACGTAAAATATTTACAGAATTAAAATTTGGCCGTCCGGAAGCAGACGTGTTAATGGTGGTTGGAGTAACCATTTAATTTTTATCTCCTCTTGTCTTTTCTCTACCTATTCCCTATCAGTCTGTCTGTCTATCTGTCTGTCTCATCAGTTTGTATCGCAATTAAATATTGTATAAAATGAACCTGCCATACAATATATTATATACATACAGAACATGTTATAACATTTTATATACTTACAGAAACTTTCTTCACTGCTGCTGCTGCTGCTGCTGTCTTTGTCGGCCAAGCTCGGCTGCCCCAAAACCAGGACAACCACCACCAAAGTGACGATTTTAGACATCATTGTAACCTTAATGCAGCCTTTGTCAGATCGCAAAGTTAAGGTCCTCACTGTATATATTTATATAAACCGAGCTGTTTGAACAGCCCAGAGAACATTTACAGAAGGTGGCCAATTTCAGTAGTTATTGTGGCTGCACCCATTTTTTAATAATGTTAGATCACATTATGGTCCGTAATAAATACTATAATTTCATTTATTACATTTGACAGGAACAGACAGTAGACTGATTATAGAGTGATACATGATTACCTTTATCTGAACAGATGTAAATTCATGTAATGAAGAAATTAAGGACAACCAGCCCTGGAGTACATCAATGATTGTATTTTTTTGTAAACTCTTTTTAAGGATTTATTAATCAAGCAGTATGTTGGTTTGGATCATGCAACTGTGGTGAATTTTTACTGAATATTAAAATGTATGTGAAAACGACTGAATTGGAAGACTTACCAGCACTTCTAAAATGACATTAATTTTGGAATTTGATTGTAATCACATTACGATTCACTGTTTAATAAGCATACCTATTAAATAATTCTATTAATGATACACATATTAACAGATCACTGATTATGTGTATAAAACACAGACTTGTTGCTTTCTATACAACACGATCAAACAACACGTGTACAACACATACAAAATACCTGACATTTTACTATTTGGTTGAATTTTAAAACACCAGAAATTACATTTATCAATGTAAAAAATTTATAACGTATCCAATCTTTGCACTAATTACCCAGTCTGTGTCCTAATTAACTTACCAATATAGACACCCATTCACGTGCCAGACTCCTTCAGGCAAACCCAAGCAGCATAACAAATTTAAAAATTAAATGTCACATAAAGTATAGTGATAAAAATAAGTGTGTCTGACGCATTTCACCCAGTTGTAAACATAATAATAGACTAATGTTATCAGAAAAGTTACCACATTTAACCCTACAAGTAATATCAGGTTTACCTACAGTAAAGATAGACAAAGTATAAGTAAGTAAAAAAAAAAATGAATTAGAAGAAGAAAAAAAATAATATAAAAAGTCAAATGAACCCAATGTCCCCAATCCCATTAAATAGGTTACAAAAAACATGAAATATGAGCATATGAACCACAAAAAATTCAGAAAAACATCCTTGTCACCAATATTACATTGAAACAAATGAATGTATTGTATATTAACTTCTTAGAAACATAGCACAAAAATAGAATCCCCTCCCCCAAATAATGTCAGGGTTGTCTGTTTTGTAACATTGAGGCTAAAGTAGCCAAACTTAGACTAGGGGAGACACTTCTTTTCCAATGTATTATGTACTAGCTGTACATACCTTAATTTTATGTTTGGATCGAATTTGATCAAAATATGAATTTTATTGAATAAACCTGTACCGCAAGTGACACTGTAATGTAAATATACATCTAAATATACTATGAAGTATGAGAGTGTAATCTTGTATTACATAAGATCTACAGGTACATAACAACATACAATAGTTACTGAAAGGAAATACTAATGTGAGCGCTGCCATTGACGTACATGAGCATTCAATCTGCCACACCAGCTGACGTTCACAGGACAGAAGCCAGAGCCAGGGCTGAGGGGGGCACTATAGGGAGCTATAGTGAAAGGAAAACAACTTTGTTTGTGAGACCTTAAAAGAAATTCTAATGGATCACCAGAAGTAGAGTCCAAACTTTTGCACATTTACTTACTGTTTTACTACCTGTTAAATTTAGCAAATAAATGATAAATACTCCTTGTGATTTATAAAAAGTATGTAGATTATTTATGGTCTATGTGCTGATATTTTTTGCACACTACATAATAAATTGCAAATCTTATACATCTTTATTTTTGTCTGCTTTTGATACTAATAAATATATATTTTATAATACATGAACTGCTATGGTGTAGTAGACACAAACATCACTTGTTTTTCTAAAGAGGTCCATCTTGCCTGGTGGAGCGTACCCTAACACTAAGGTGAGGCTGCTAGGATTACTGTGACCTTTCTACACAGCTGCCATTTACACCTTCTAGTGACACCAGTGATGGAGTGATGTCCCAATGCATCGTTACAGGGCACACTTGGGAGATGTGCAGGAAGAGGACTAAGATCTTAGCCTGTTTTCTACTGAGCCATCTCAACAAGGTACACAGGTAACTAAACCCCCAACAAAATAACCAGGACTTGACACAGACAGAAATATGGCCCAGGCACTTAGAGGCATTAAATAGCACGCAATAAGAGGGTCTGGACCAGAGAGGTGTTGTGCTATGTGATTACTAATTATAGCAGCAAGTGAGATTTCTGGCACCTGTTCCTTATGTGTACTGCAGCTAAAGCTTTCCCAAAACAGAGTCTCTTCTTTCTGGTCGTTGATGCAAGTAAAATGGGGGATGTAAAATGTGGGGGGGAGCATCATCTGGAATATACCACATGGATTATTGGCACAGGGATACGATACCAGAGGAAGTCAGGACCATCCTAACATCCATACGCTATGATTTGGAGCTGATCTTGAGCTCCAGAAACGTGTGAGTGCAGTATATTCTTTCTTTATATTCTGCCTCTGCTGTTATAGACATACTACACTATATTAGTATTCCGTCCCATTTTGTTTTCCTTCTTATATTGGCTCCATTGGACTCCACACAAGGATTTCAATTGTTAAGCGCTGCTTCCCTACATCCCCCGTATTATGTGATTACCAATGACTACCACGCTCCCCCAAAATGAGTGTTAGTTTTATACCCCTCCATGGCATCCCGCATGCAGAGTCCTGCTGAATATGTCCTGCGTTTGTTTTGCACAGCAAAAGTACATTTATTTGGTAAATTTGCTCTGTGTTTGTTGGTGGGCTGGTAGAGAGTGTTGTCATCTGTGGAGGGCTGCTTGTTGTATGTGTTTTGGATCCTGTTTGTAGGATTGCCTGTGTATATAGGAAGCTGTTTTTGGTGTATTGTATGTGGCTGAGTGTTGTTGCATATGTGTGTGAGATTGTGTGTATATGTGTGTGTGTGTGTGTGTCTAGGGCTTGCATATGAGTGTGTTTCTACAGGCTATTGTATGTGTGTTTTATATCTAGGGGATACAATATGTGTTTATATGTGTATAGGGGCTGCAGTGCATGTGTATTAGGCATTGTAGTGTATATATGTGCATAGGGGTTGTAGTGAGCATGTGTGTGTATAGGGGCCATAGAGATTTTAAGGACATATAGTATATAGGAGGTTTAGTGTGTTTGTATAGGGGGTGTAGTGTGTGTGTGTGTGTGTGTGTATATATATAGGGGCTGTAGAGTTTTTAAGGGAATATATATTTTAAGGGCATGTTCAATCTATCGCCAAATCCTGTCATTTCCATCTCAAAAACAATGCGCGCATCCGCTCCTACTTAACGCCAGATGCGACTAAGGTGTTGGTACATTCCACTGTCCTTTCTCGCCTTGACTACTATAATCCGCTTCTCAGTGGTCTTACGTGCTTCCAACTTGCACCGTTACAGTCCATAATGAATGCGGCGGCGAGGCTCATCTTCCTGTCCGCCCGCACCTCCCATGCCTCACCCTTCTGTCAGTCCCTACATTGGCTTCCTATAAAATATAGAGCTCAATTTAAAATTCTGGTTCTTGCTTTCAAATCTCTACGTAATGCTGCTCCCACCTATCTATCCTCCCTTATACACAAGTATGTCTCTTCTAGGCCCTTACGATATGCTGAAGACTTAGGTCTATCTTCTGTCCGTACTCCCACCTCTGATTCCTCTTCTGCAACTGTCACTAGTCTAATACTATCCTTACCTTTTTGTGTCATTTTACCCCACTCCCTCTAGCATGTAAGCTCATTGAGCAGGGCCCTCAACCCCTCTGTGCCTGTGTGTCCAACTTGTCTGGTTACAATTACATGTCTGTTCATCCACCCATTGTAAAGTGCTGCGGAATTTGATGGTGCTCTATAAATATCATAATAATAATAATAATAATAATATAGTATATAGGAGGTTTAGTGTGAGTGTATAGGAGGTGTAGTGTGTGTGTGTGTGTGTGTGTGTGTAGGGTTATAGTGTGTATAGAATGTGTAGAATGTGTGAACCAGGAGTATTGTGAGTATAGGAGTATGATGTCTGTATAAAGGATATAGTGTGTGTGTGTGTGTGTGTATAGTGGGGTGTGATGTATGTGTTGAGAGGTGCACTGTGTTTATAAGGGATATGAATGTGAATATGGGGTGCAATGTGTATATAGGGGGTTATATGTGTGTAAAGGGGGTGTAGTATGTTTATAGCTGGGTGTCTTGTGGGGTGGGATAGTAGTTTTATTTAATTATTATTAATGATTTAATAATAACTTTTTTTAAACGTTAATTACCGCTTCCCTCTTGTTACCTCCATTCAGACCCCTGTTTATTTAGATACAAAGCTAACTTTAATTGCACAAATTAATTGCAAAAATAAGCAGAGAGTTGAATTCAAGAGGAGGAAGGGAGACATTAAATGAAAGGGAGAAGAGAGTTAAAATAAAGGGGAGAACATGAAAACTATAGAGCCGAGAGTTGAAATTAAACTGGAACAGCAAGAAGACTCAAAACTTAACTCAACATATTCCAAGCCAAAAACATCATAGAAAATGTCAATGTTTTTCTTTGCTCCCAAGGTATGTAACATCTTGGAGCCATACTAAAAAGACTGTCAGGGTTATTTAAGAACTGAAAGCAAATCTAAAGTGAATTTCACATTTAAGGGCAGAGAAGCTGAATAGAAAGCATAGTGAATAACCTTGTATATCTCGTATCCTGTGACTAACTTCGGTATTCAAGTCACTAGGGACAGCAATGTGTCCTTCCCCTGTGCCTTAAGGGTTAAGGGTTCAAGCCTTCCACTAATCCTCCCCTATCCAGACCACAAGACCAGCCAAGAGGTTCAGACGCCCATATGGAACAATGAGTCACTTTACTAGCTGTTCCTCAACACGGCTCATCCTTTGAAGACAGAAGGTTCCAGATGGTCTTCACGGAAAGTTG